TTTTTTTTTGGGTGTGAAAAATTTCTTTTTCCCACAACATACACATTATGAACAATTAATTATGCATGAAATGATAGAATTTATGAAAGAAATCATAGTAAATGATTTATTGAAATTAAAATACAAAATGATAACTTTTGCTTTTGTTAGTATTATTGTTTGTTGATCTGTCATTGTTCCTATTGTTTATTATTATTATTATTAATATTACTGCTATTATTTGTTATTATTAACTTTTATTATTATTACTATTATTACTAATTATATTAATGAAGATTCAAATCATTCAAATGATCAAATTTTTTGCATGATCTCACTGCAGTTTTTTCTTTTTTTTTTTTTTTGAAATCTTCGGGATCAATAATAGATTTAATGAAATCATCTTGCTTTTTTGCCTTCAATTTTGGTTCAGAACTAAATTAAAGTTTATTTGATTGATTAATGGAACTAACTGTTCAATTATTTGATTGAAATTTGACAAAATTTTGAAAAGAACACTTAATTTTCAAATTATATAAATGTAAGCAAACATTGTCATGCAGGATATTTTATTTTATACCTTCTTATATCTTGTGCTTTTTTTTAATATAATATTTTAAATGTTCTTAATTACTTTTAAAATTTACACTTGCAGTATTTTATGGTTCAGTTTTCCAGCTTATATCATTTAATACTTTAAATTTTTATTAACTTTAAATATGATTATCTTTTTGAAACTATAAATTGATGCATTCATATGAGGTATAGCAGTATTGTGAACACCTGTTCAGCTTTTAGCTCTTTCCTCCTTTCTACTTGAACATTCTCATCTTTCTTCTTCCGTCTCTTCACATACATATATATATCAAATTACTGACCTAAGAATTATCATCAAAAATTTTATCTTATCATTGAAATTTTTCGCGTTAAAGAAAGATAAAATGAAAATCAATTCATTTTATCTTTCTATAAATATGGACAAATTTAATATAATAATAAATATTAATAATTATAAAATTAGCAAATTAATACTAACATTCGTTTTCCTTCTAAATTATATCTTATCATTGCTACGTTTAACTTAAAAATTAATTAAAAAGAAAAAATATTTTGAACAATTGCTCTTCTCGAATTAATTCTCTTATTTTTGATATAATTTTGATTTATGTCTTAATTTCGCTTACTTTTCATTTGTCATTATTAATAATTAGCAAATTTTCTGCTCGTATTTGTATATTATAACAGATGTTACCTAAAACTTTTATTTTATAATGTATTATCTCAAATATCTACATAAAATTTCAGTTTAATGTGATTAATTTAAAAAAAAAAAAGAAAGCGTTGTGATAAGATTAACTAGAAATAATCTTTGGAATTTCGTATTACCAAATATAAATATAAATTTCTAGCGAGTATTTATGTTATTGTAATTCGATAATAGGTTTTTAAGAAACGAAATGTTTCATATTATTAATATTACCTCTTACTAAATCGATTTTATAGTTTTATTTGAATAATTTCATATCTAAATCTTATAAAATTATTTTTGCAAAGGGAAGAAAAACATTAAAATTGCACAATCAAATATTTTTTTTATAGTGTAATAAAGAAAAAAATTTTTGCTTTGAAAAATATAAACGCATACATTGATATACACAGTATGCATACACGTAATCACGTACGTTTCACTTGTAGGTATGATAATAAGTAAAATTTATCTGTAATCTTTTTTTTTTTCTTTTTTTGAAATTAAATTTAAAAAAAAAAAAACTATACAGTTCTTTTTTTTACTTTTCACTGCAGGAGGCGTGAAAAAGAGAGGATAAGAGCGATAGAGAAGTAAACTTTGTGACAAATAATTCGTAGTAAAATTTATTTATTACATTATCGTTGTCATTCTTAGATAATCATAATAATGATTTTTCCAGTACAGTATATCTCATAACAAATAAAATTGTTCTTTTTCATTTTAATTAATTACTATCAGTATATGCGATCAGTTATATAAAATGAGAATATTTTGAATTAGGATAAATATAATAAGACTAGGAAATATTTATAATATATTTTAATCAGTATTATTTAGCTCATGGAAGTAGGCATTGCTTGATTATCTAATCATTGTAACGGCAAATTTATCATGATTCCTGAAATTTTTTTGTCAAGAAATCTTATTGTTTCAGTTATTCATAGTGGTTGATTTACTGATAAAATCTTTTGTAGGTTAAATTAAGTAATTTTAGCCATATAAAAAGATACATCACTTCAAGAAAAATACACTTACTTTCAACATTTCTTTCCACCAAATTTAGATTAGTTGGAAGAAAAAAATAAGAACTGAAAATGTTTTTTCGAAAAGAATAAATTATGATATTTATTGGAAAATAGAACTTTGTGAGAAATCCTGTGCCTATTGGTGTATGATAAAAAAAAATGTTTACAGAGAATTTGAAAAAGTAGTAAACTTCGATGAAAATTCTTTTAAATTACTTAGTAGACGAAAATTGTTACATTTGTTTATCAGAATTTATTGTTGTTGTCATTGAAACCATAATTATATAAATTGTATGCATGGCGTTTTAGCCACTTCTATAATTCTTTTACGTTTTAACGCCATAGAATATAAAAGAAAAAATGGAAAGGAAAGTATCATTTCATTCAATTCATCAATTTGAATGCAAATTACCAATTTTGCTCTTTTCTAAAGTATCTTATTCACCGCTAGATCAATCATTTTTTTTTTTCTTTAGAAAAAATGAATGCAACTGCCAAATCTGCTTGTAAATGTATTATAAAATACTACATTTGCTATTGATTTTCAAAATTTTACCTGCATTTGTAAATTTACCATAGAATACAGTATTTGGTATTAACTACAGTAGAATTCATGACCCATACGATACGGTATCTGCTGTTAACCGTTGTAAGATCCATGATTTATCGTTAAATTTTACTGCATCAGATGACATATTATTTGCCATTAATCAAAATTCATTCTAAAATTTACCGCACTGCAGCATAGAATGCAGTATCCGATACTTACCGTAAGATTTGCCTTAAACCTTACCGTATCGCAGAATACAATATTTGCTATCTACTAAATTACTGTGGAACTATTTGTGATAGTTTTTTTTTTCTATCGCTAAGATTTTGCTGCACCATGGAATAAAATACTTTCTATTCAATATCATAAAATTTTTTTCATTTAAAAAAAAGCCTTTTTTTCAACTCCTACTCTTAATGAGTATCAAACTCATAATTTTATCGCTTAAGTTTTTTCCTTTTTTCGAATTTAAAAGTTCTTTTTTCGAAAAAAAAACGATGAAAAAATATATGAAAAACTTTGGAAGAAAAAAAATTTTTGTTCTATCCCAAGAATAAGTATTTACATTTAGTGGCAGCATTTTCGTGAGTGTAAATTCTCGACGATAAATAATATTTGACAAATAATTCCTTTTTTTTCTTCTATTTACAAATTGATAAATGTCAAGTGCCATATGTTATAAAAAATTTTTTTGTAATAAAATTTCCATCAAAAAAAAGAAATTCAATTTTTTAAATAATTTCAGTATTATTAGTCAAAAAATAAGGATAGGTTTTATTTCAGTATTATTTGTAGAAAAAGCAAAAATAATTTTTTTTTTTCTTTCTTTGATCTTTAAAGCAATGAATTTAACACAATAAAAAAATTACCAAAAAAAAAAAAAAATGGTATCACTTATGATTTAACGAAATTTTATTTTGTATAACTAAAGAAAGTCTCTTTGTTGTCCATATTTTGACCATCTGTTCATAAAATGAATGCATACATTGTTGAATTTTCTCTCTTTTTTCTTATACATTTCATGTTGTTAACTAATTTTACAGTTGTTGCTTTTATGATTTCTTTCCCCATAGAATTTCATTTTTTTTTTTTTTTGCTAGATGAAATAATAATATATTTATTTCTTTATAAATTCATTCATAAATATATAGTGGCATACTGTACGAGAATATTATGTTTGTTTAATTCATGAATGAAAGGTTTAAAAAGGTTAATTCAAAATTTAAATATGATACATTGAATGATGTCATTACATCAGAAAATATGCATGGAACCAGATGTAGCAATCAAATAGATTTCTCAAAAAAAAAAAAAAAAAAAATTGGTCATGCATATATCGGATGTACGGAAGGATTCAAACATGCTAATTATTGAACATTTAATTTTGTTACCGATGACAGGAACAGGTTAGATACCCATTAAGTCGTGTTGTCATCTTTCCTTTTGCGATTGTATAATTATTAATGAAGGATTGAATTTTGCTTGCATTGAATATTCATATCACTTAATCAGTAAAACTGAATAATTAAATGTGTATCTTAAAATTCTTGTATAATATTACATTACATTCCTGCAATCAAAGTATTCTGTGGAAAAATTTTGAAAAATCAAAAAAAAAATAATAATACAAAAGAAATAAAAAAGAATGTTCATACTGCATTGCATCAGTTCCAAATATTCTTTTAATTTTAATAAATTATTTCACGAAGTAAACATTTAATATTGTGTTTTTCGTATGATATAATTTTTTTTTTGCTCAACAAATTTTGTATAAAAAAAAAAAAACGAGATATTACTGAAAGACAAGAAATAAATTTGGATAAACTTTTCATTTCAAAAAATTAACATACTATCACAATGATTTTCTTAATGTCAATTCATTATATGTAATCATAAAAAATAACAATTTCTCATCCATAAAATCATTTTCTGCAACATTAAACGTTACATTCTTTAATGAATTTTCATACTTTATTTTATTTGTTGCTTAATTTATTTAATTTTACCACATTTTGATGCATTTTTTTTTTATTAGATTTTAAGGTTGGAAATTTTTTAAGAAAAAATTTTCTTTGATTAATTGAAATTAGTTAAATTTTTCTGAAATTTTTACAATTCTAATTCCACTTTTTATTTTCATTAATTTATTTGTTTCTTTCTCTTTTGTAGGCGTAATTCGGCAAATTGTGATTCACTGATGTTCGACAAAGATGCATCATCAAATGAAGCAGCTATTCATAAAGAAAGCGATAGTGGTAGTGCTAGTAGCTTATTTATGGTTACCGGAAATCGGCGCTCTGCTAATTTCCATAGCAACCTCGATTTAACGGTATTTATTTAATTTTAGCTATTTGTTTTGTTCACGAAGTTTTATTTAATCTAATTTTGTACTTGAAAATTTTTAAACTGGTCAATAGATGAATTTAATAAAATGAAATTCATTTCCAATTGAATTATTTCACTTTTTTTTCTTCACTTCATCTAATGTCTTATTTACTTCAATATTGAGGATAGCTGTAGAAAAATTTTTAAATTAAAAAAACTGACAATTTAATTTTCTTGAAAGTTTTCATTTTCAATTATTTACATTTTATTTCCAATTATATATAATATTGAAATAGTTTAAGTAAATTTTGCAGGAAATGATAAAAGTTTTTCGTCTTCGTGCATTATATGTATAATTTTGAATTTTTTCAAAAGTTAAAATTACTATATTTAGTTAAATAAATTGATAGAAGTTTTCTTTTTTTTGTGCCACCATTTTTATTATATAATATGGCATTGAGAACATTTGGATATTTCAAATTTCTGCGAACAATTTTTGTTGTGTAATATGTAATTTTTGAAATTAGTTCGAAAATTAAAATTGCTATATTTAGTCAAACGAATTTTTGGCATTTTTGGAACGAATGCAAAGTCAACGTTTGGATGATCAACGATGTGAGATGCCCGATATCCATGTTAGTTCACTTTTTTTTTTTTTTTTAATTCTTTTTGTTTTTTCCAAATAAAAAATTCTTTTCTTTTTCCATACTTTCTGTGAATTTTCGGAAAAAAATATTATTAATTTTGTTTCTTAGTTAGATAAATATTATGCAAATTTAATTCTAAAGAACTTTTTTTTTTTCTTTTGCTTCAAAATAAAATGAATAATTAGAAAATACATGAAAATATGTGATTTTAAAATTGTTTTTTTTTCGAAAATAAAGAATGCAAAATTAAAACGATTTGCAATAAATATTGAAAAGCTTAATACATATTATTATTGCAGTAATAATAGTAAAACAAAGACAATATATTAATTCAAAATTAAAATTATTAACTCATGAAGAGGAAATTTAAAAATTTACGATTTTCTAAATTAATAGTCAAATTTAGTCGAATAATTTATTAACTTGGTAATAATTAAAAAATGCTAAATTAACTTAGATATGAAATGACTTTAGGAAATATTTCATTGGTTTAATAAGTTAGTAGCTTATTTCCAAATTAGACAAAAACAAAAGGTTTTTTTTTTATAAGTAAAATTATAATACAAAGGAAATATGAAATTGAAAATGAATATAATGGATAAATATAATCATATATGATGAATGTGATAGAGAAAATTCCTATGCTAAATTATTATAAAAATTTATTATTTCCCAGTTAAAATTTATTGCTTCCCATAATTCGACTAAATTTGAGAAGTAAATTTTGGGCAAATGTCGTTTAAATCGAGAAAAACATTAAGCAGCACATGTACTTCTGCATCATCTCTTCCTTCTTATATGCTTTATAATAATTATAAATTGATGAAGAATTTATGAAAATTCGCACATCAATGATATAATTATTATAAAGTTTGAATATTGTATTTTATAAAAAATTTTAAAAACTTAAATTTAAATTACCACGTATATACAGTCGAGATTTGACCACAAAATAGAATGACGTATAATAAATAATAAGACTAACATATATACGCCAATTAAACCTTATTCAGAAAAAATAAATAAATAATTTATTCTGTCTCTAATGATGTGTGTATATTAAACTAATCTTTTCATAACAATTTCTAGTTTAAGTGACAAATAAGCTAATTATTATATGCTAACAAATAAACTAATTTTTTGAACTTACTTTCTAACTTAATTAGCTAATAAATTTATAATATTACTTATATAATTTCTATGAATTAGTGTAGTGTTAATAGTTTGTGTAGGCTATATAATAATAATAAAGAAGTAAATACCATATGAATTGCAATGGAATAATAGATAATGCACATTATGCAAACCACAACATTTAAAAATGATTGATAGACTGAAATATCTATTGTAAAAAATAGAAAAATATTTACTCTTTCTTTTTTTGATATTGATTTTTGTAAATTTACATTTATGATATTGAAACGGTACAGTTATTAGTTATTATAAAACAAAAACAGGTTCCTTCATATTTACTCTCTCTAATGATGTGGCAATTACCCGTTTTGCATCCCCTATTAGTATTTATTATTGTTATTAATGCTATTAACATCGCCATTATCATTGTTATCATTACTTATATGATCAGATGCGTTAATATTATCTCTTTGCATTCCTAAAATTTTGTTATTTATTGCTTGAATTGTAATATCAGATTTGATAAATGCTAGTATTATCACTGTCATTATTAATTATCATTATTAGTGATACAATTGATTATTCATAATAGAAAATTAGCTTTTTGCTCACTGTTCATATGTTCGAGTCATAATGTTGAATCAAAGAAATCGTAAAATTATTATAATTAATCATCAGCTACCCGTAATAGTTGTATTGATCGATTAGAATAGTTGTAATCATTGTTTTTATATTCATTATTTCTACCAATTAAATTCTATAAATTATACCAGTTTCATTAATTTCGTTGTTTTTGTAACTTTTACATTCTATTTTTAATCGAAAACATCAATATAATCAAGTTTGCACAAATTAAAATTTTATGCTTTTATTATTACTCTTAACTATGAGATTTTTTAATTCATTTGACAAACTTCAATCAATTTTGTGATATCTTTTTGACTCAAAGAAACTAATCAATTAAATATAAACAAAATAGTTCAATTCTTATTTAATTATGCATGCGTAAAACATTGTTAATAAAGCAAAGGTAAATTATTTTCAAAAAAAAAAAGAAAGTCACATATGAGTAAAGGACACTTAGTATTCCTTAATCTTTAACCTTGTTTTTTTTTCTTCAAATTTATCGAAAAAAAAAAGCGAAAACGAACAAATGGTGACAATAACAATGCGACCAAAAAAAATTTAGTTCCATTTTATTTTATTCTACCAAATTGACAAATTGTGATGTGATACCGAACTAATTTGTGCTACTTATACGACACAATAGCATTATAATTTCGAAAATTTGCAGAAAATTGTTTAAAAAAAACCCAACTTGAAAGAAGGAAAATTAAGTTAGTAAAATCTGACAAAGTATATAAATGTAGTCATCACTTCATCTTTATAGTAACAGTAATAAAAGTAATGATAAACAGTTAATAATAATAATGAATTATTATTACTCTAAATAGTAATAATTAATAATAATGATAACAATAATAATAATTATATCACTATAAATATAATTCCGGTGATAGCAGTAATAGTAATTATCGTTGTTACAATAACTACTTTTTGTTTTTTCTTATTTTCATCTGAATAATAAACAGTAAATTTATAAAAATAATCATACTAATATTTTTTTTCTAATAATTATCCTAAAAAAAAAGAACAAATCTTGTTCTATTTGTTTCTTTTTTTCCGCTTTTTTTTATGAAGTAATCAAAATTTTGGTTTATTTCTCATTTTTTTAAAATTTTAACAAAAAAATTCGAAAAAAGAAATTAAACCGTATTATATGTACATTTATAGAAAGACAGGTTTTGATGTGAAAATTGAACATAAATTAATAATTTCGTTTCAATTGATGATTGCATGTTTGTCTTTGATAACAGAGATTGTTTGGGTTACTAATCTTCTGTTTATTTATAATCTTATCTTTTCAATGAAATTATTTGTTATTCTACGCTATGATATTATCTCTTATCACATATTATCCTACTACTTTACTTTTGGACTAAAATTACTTCTTACCCTTACCCTTACCCTACTTGCTTCCTTTCTTTTTGAATAAAATCCTTTCTTATCTTAAACTAATGAACAACTACTTTATAACAAATAATTAATATTTGTAATTAATTAATTAATATATATTTGTAAATGATTATTTGTTTACAGAAATATATTGTTTTAGTTAGAACACAAAAAATATTTGTTTGTGAAATATTTTTTTGGTTTATTTCTCTTCTTCTCTTCTCCTTGTCTTTCCCTTTTGAAAAACTTTATATTTCCCTTTTACAATATATACTAACCTTATAATATATTTTTCTCATCCAATTGACAATTTCTCTTTAAATATTAAAATGAAATTATACTTTCTTCCCTTTTTCCAATTTCTCTCCCTCTCCTTCTTCTCAACATATCTCTTTGCTTCCCTTCCCTTTTTCTTTCTTTTTCTCTGTTAATAATTCACTATCTCCTTGTTTCTCTTTTCACTAATAATTGTTTTATTATTATTTATTATTATTATTACTATTACTATTATTGTTTTCAATCAGTTTATACTAATTTCAATGTTATAATTTATCATATATTCATATTATACTCTTCACTCTTTATAAATTCATAATTATTTATCTGTGGGAGCTTAAGATAAACAATTTTTTTTTACTAAAAAATGTCATTTAATTTTTAATTCAAAATTGATTCGTTTTTTTCTCGAAAGAGAATTTTTTTAGTAGAAAAAAAAGTTATTTTGAAGATGCAAGAAAAAGGAAGTGATGTAAACAGATGATTTTATTTATTTTTTAGCAAAAGCATTTATTTATTTAGGTATTTTAAGACTAACAAACATTTCACAACAATTGTGTGAAATTATTTTATGTAACTTTTTTCAATGTCATTTGCTTATTTCACTTATTTACTTTTTAAGCAATTAAAATTTAACAAATAATAATCGTTAGTGTATTTCTAGCACTAAGTGTAGCTTCATCAATTGTCATTTAATTGTCAACTGTCATTTAAAATTTCGCTTAGAATACTTAATGAGAATTTCATACTTCTTTAAATGATTAATTTGTACATTTTTACAAGTCATTAATTAGTGCTTAACGAATGCATAAAATCTGTTTTCTAATTGATAATTCTTACAATATATGTACTCTCTGTACCTCGTTTTTCTGTGTTCTTTTTGTTAAACATATTTTAAATAATAATAGTTTTTGATTTAATTTAATTAATCTAAAAATTAAAATTAGATTTATTAATGAATTTTAAACTAACGTAAAATGAAACGCACATTGCCTTCGTTTTTTTTTTTATTTTCGTCATTTATTTTATTGGAACAAAGAGAGAAATGTTCGATTTCTTACGAAGCTATCTTTAAATTTAGAAAAATTTATCAGCTTCTTCCTCTATGCAATGCGATTTAGCAGGTGGTTGTTGAATTGCTTAAATTACATTTCTTGTTGAAAGAAGTCGTGAAAAGCTCGTTTTCTCTTTTTTTTTATTTCATTCAATTTAAACGATTAATTTTAACAAATTATAGCAAATAAATAATTAATTTCAAATGAAAAAATAATTTTAACATAAATAATAGCGCAGAAATAAATAAAATATATGAATAATTAAGTGAGCAATTTTATAATAGAAGATAATTTTTTATAATAATAAAAGGTAACTTTTTTTTTACTTTTTATAATAGAAGGTAATTTAATACAAATAATAAATTAGTAAGTAATTTGATTAAAAAATTCCTTTATTTTTTCTTTGACAACTTTTTTACTTAGATTTTTGCATTAAAAAAATGTGCAAATGATGTAATATTTCTGTATTAATTTGAAATACTCAATAAAAATATTATTTATTTATGCATTGATTTTATAAATTTAAAAAAAAAAAAAAAAAAAAAAAAAAAAAAAGAAAATGAAAGAGGAAAGGAAAATTGGGAAAGATGAATGAAAATCAGAGCCGTCAAGTTTTAATTATTGTATATATTTCTCGTAATTTACTACTAATAATTACTTTACTTTGTATTGAAAGTTTGATTTATGTGCAGAAAGTTGGGATAAAAATCATAAAATTCTTTATTAATAGCTTAAATTGGATTTTTAAAAGAAACAAGAAATAATAATAATAATAATTTGAAAAATTTTTTATTCTTAACTTTCTTATGTTTCCTTCCTTT